TAATGTACTAAATTCCATTGCACGAGTTGTATTTAATGAGAGAATTTCATAAATCAAAAATTAAAAATTTTTGTCAACAAATGTCAAAACACCAGTTTTCGCACCAGTTACTATGCAATTATCTGATAATTTGCACTAGTGCAAATTATCGCGTAATTCCAGTGGCGGATTTAGAGGGGGGGCGCGGGGGGCGCGCGCCCCCCCCTATTGAGCGAAATTTTTAACGAAAACACAAACATATTCATCAAGCATTATCCAACATGAAATTCCATATGGTTTTTGCTATTTTTCCAAATTTTTAATACTTTTAAATACGTTTGGCAGCAGCGAGCTGGGAGCGAATCGACTGCGGATGACGTAAATCCGCACCAACTTTGAATTTAATCTATAATTGAAAATTCCAATTAAATTTAATCTCCGATTAAATTAAATGTTGATGTCAAATGATAGTTTATGAAAATCTAAGACAGGAATGTGAAATCGGTTTTCCTCTGAAATTAACCGTTCAGGTTTTACAGCCTGTCAAAGTTGCAAAAAGTCAATGTTCAACTGTCAATATTTCCAAAACAGTTGAACTTAGGTATAGGGAATATCACATGAAATCTGCTCAGAATTTTACGTAGAATCCAAATATGCAATCACATACAGGGTGTTTTATTTGAAAAAAAGAAAGTTGGTCTAGATAGCAAACAAACCAGAAGTGACACAGGCAATACGTTTAAGTAGAATTGTGGGAAATATTAGGGACATAAAGCTACTTGAAATAATTCATCGGTATCGGTATCCGTAACGCAACTAGATACGTTGACAAGCGAAAAGGCTGTTAAAGCGCTCCCTGTTCCGGTAAACGTAAACGCATTTCATAACCTAGACATTTTTGTCTCAAAACTTCGGCGTTTTTATATCTAACCTTAAAATTGTTATTTTTTTTGCGATAGAGAAGCACTAAACATACAAGAAACTCAAGAAAGTATAAACTAAACAAATTAAATCAACCCGGAAGAAAAGGGAGGTTATATTCATTTGAAATTTGACATGCGTCAGGAATGTCAAGATACGTTACCGATACGGATACCGCGAGAGGGCCGTAACGTTACGTTGTACGTACGGTATCTCGGCCTCCGTATCGCTTCTGCACATGCGCAGTACGATACCGATACGGATACCGAGCAAAAAATACGGAAGCTTTATGTCCCTAATTTACTGAGCCTTTCATTAAGGTCACTTTTTCTTATACGAGGTAATTAGAAAGTTACAAGTATTATACGCGACTTTTTTGCCACTCTGTATATTTAAGTCGTTTTTTTATTATTTTTTATCTGAGCCTGAGGCCCTGATGGATCGCCCCCCCCTAGAAGGAATCCTAAATCCGCCGCTGCGTAATTCCAATCTGATTGGTTCAAATCAACAATCAAAACATGTCAGTTTATTGTAGGAATACCAGTTTTGACAGATGTATGAAATTCTCATTAATTGAAAACAAGTTTCCAAAGGAATTTATTGTTTTATAATCGTTATTAATTATTTATTTGATAAGTTTTAATAAAATTTAATTATTCAAAATGTTATCGATGTCATGTGGCAACGTCGCTTTTAGTCGGCTATTTTGCAGTGACGTGTTTACGTTTTTGTCCAGTTTTTCCTCAGAGTTTCCACTTTTTCAAAGCGTTTTCAATCTGGAAAACTGGTGAAAATATGAGGCTTTAGGTTTTCTGCATTTTTCAACAAAAAATTCCAGTTTTAAATGCCATAATTAGCAAAATCCCATTTAAAATGGTTTTTCAGGTTTCGACAATCGGCCATTATAAGTGGTTTTATTCATATTTTTTCTCGCATTTTCCGCTTTTCCAGGCCGTTTTTAGTCGAAAAAACTGGTTTAAAGTACGAAACTTTGAGTTTCCTTCATTTTTTGTCAAAAATGTCTACTTTTTCAATGAGGTAAGTGACAAAAATTCAGCTTCATCAAGTAGACTTTGGAGAGTCCTTTTTAGAGGTTTTTTTTTTTTGAATTTTCCACTTTTCCTAGGCTTTTTCGGTCGGGAAAACTGGTTTTAAGTACGAGGCTTTGAGTTTTCTTCATTTTCTAACAAAAGTTTTCAGTGTTAAATGCAATATTTAGCAAAATCCCATTTAAAATACTTTTTCTGGAAGTTTTAATGTGGCAACACCGCTTGTGGCTAACTTCAATCAAGTAAGTAAATCATTTGTTAGCTTTGACGGTCGGCCATTTACAGTGTTTTTATCCTGATTTTTCTTCAGATTTTCCGCTTTTACAGGTCGTTTTCAATCAGGAAAACTGGTTTTAAGTACGAGGCTTTAAGTTTCCTTCATTTTGTGCCAAAAATTTTCAGTTTTCCAATAAGGTAGGTGACAAAAACTCAAGTTTCATCAAGTAGGCTTTAGAATGTTTTTTTAGAGGTTTTTCTTCGGATTTTTCGCTTTTCCAGAGCTTTTTTGGTCGGAAATTTGAATTTCCTTCATTTTTAGCCAAAAATTTCCGTGTTCCGCCCGCAAAAAAAATCACTAAAAAACAATTGTTTAGGAAATTTCTAGTTTTAAAAATCAGCTTTTTCACTAAAATACGTTTATGAGTTGGCAACACTGCTTTGTAGCCAACTTCACTCGGCTTCCAATCAAGTCGACCTTGGAATGTTATTTCCAAAGCCCTGACAATGACATTTGACAGTCGGCCATTTTGAGTGTTTTTATTCCGGTTTTTCCGCGAACTTTCCACTTTTCCGGGATTTTTAAATGGAAAAAAGTGTTTTCAAGTGCGGGACTTTGGATTTTTATTGTTTTGTGCTAGAAATTTTTATTTAAAAACAAGTTTTCCAAGGATTTTCAAGGAAAATTTATTATTTTTATTTTTTTGCTTTGCTTAATTTGGGGTTGTTTTTTTCATTTTTTGAAATTATTTTCATCATTTGACAACGCTGCTTTCCAGTTCTTGATTGGCTTTAAAATTCAAATTTTAATTATTTTCGGCTCTTGATTGGTTTTCACATCCATTTAATAAACCAATCAAAAGATGAGGATTTCCAAAAATTGAATTTTATCATGTGGCAACACCGCTAGCTCAATCGAGTAGGCCTTGGAATGTCATCAGTGTCATTTACGTCAATTTCAAATTGAAGTCGATAAAACAGAACTCTGCAATATTTTCGTACCTTTAAGGCCTGACAACATTGAGCTGGTTATAGAGAATTCTGTATTTTTTTTTTTATATCAAACGGCCTGACATGACAACATTGAGCCAGTAATACAGAACTTTGTAATGAAAAACTCGAAACCGCATTAAGTAGAGGTAACGTACGACATTTTATCTACGACCTTTTTTTTTTTTCGAACAATAAGCCAATCGAGTAGAACTTGGAATGTCATCAGTGTTATTTACGTCAATTTCAAATTGAAGCCGATCAAACGGAACTCTGCAATATTTAAGGCTTGACCACATTGGACCGGCAATACAGAATCTGTAATATATATTTTTTTATACCAAACCTACCAAACGACCTGACATGCAGGGAAACCAGATTTTAAATTTGAAAAAGCCAGACAGCAATTAGGAAAAAAAAAACAATATACGTAGGAAACGCAACCTAAAAGGGTGTTGTCGGCCGGAAATCGAGATATATTTCCTTACATTTTCAAAAATCGGGATATTTGTCATTCAATTCGTGAATCGGGACGGTTCGGAAATATCTCTAAAAATCGGGACTGTCCCGCCTAAATCGGGACGTCTGGCAAACCTGGCCTCTACCTACTTTCGTGAAAGTGGTTTCTCAACTCTTTTTAACAAAAACTCAAGAATCACAAGAATTTCAAAACGGAGATGCAAGCTCAGTCATCACATTAACAAAATAAAAATTCACTTTTTGTAATTAGTTACGAAATATTAATATTTTAATAGAGATTTTTGGTTTTTTATTTATTGAGGGGTAGGGGGGTCGCGACTTTATGAGCAAATCTGTAAAAGGGTCGTGACTAAAAAACGGTTGGGAACCACTGCTCTAGACCCTATTCAATAAATCTTGAAAGTTTGAAGTCCCTCTGATTGCTGATTGGTATATCAGGGTATATCCCATCGCCATACTGCTTCTGATTATACCTATCTACAAAGTTTAGCATGATATCTGTGATTCAGTTGAAGAAGAGTTTCGAGTCAGAAGACTCTTAAATATGAAAACTAGTGGAAAAGCTACATGATGAAGAAATTATAGACTTGCATAATTTAAACCCACAAGTGAATCCCTGTTTTAAATCTCTTAGCACCTCAATATTGCGTGAATTAGCCAATGAATTTACCAAACAACTGTCTAAAAGGAATTTTCCCTATAGCTTAGAGAATCCAGGAAGTAAGTATATTTCGTAATGATTTCCAAACGTTTATTTTAAATACAGTCTACAATGTTTTAGTTTTATTGCCGTTAACATAAACTCATCAATTTTCCGATAATTATGCAAAAGCGATCGGAAAAACAAAAAACTACTGATAGGATAATAACCACGTCACGTACCTACAAGCGATTTTAATATTTGCATAGCTAATTTTAGACTAGTTTTTCTTTGGTAAACTTTAGGAGTTTACCCAAAGACAAACGTTATTTCTATTGATTTTCGTTCAGCACTCAGCGGCAGACAGCGTGGTTCAGTTGCATTGCCCAGCTGCTAGCTGGAGCCAATCGATATTACGCCTACGTCAAAATTTGCTGCACCCTCTTTTTTTTACCACCCCCAGATCTTAACACTGACCTTACTGGCTAGGAAAAATAAATGTTGAGACTAAGAGGGGAAAAGGATCTTTGGTAATTTGTAGGCAATTATTTGGATAATTCTTGGTTGACTTTCAGTAATATTACCTACAAAATTGGTGCAGGGTGTCTATTTTAAGAAAATTACTAGATTTGAATAAGAATACATAGTAGTTCCTTATTACGATTGCGAACAAACCAAAAATTCTCATATTCAACTTTTGAATGTTTTTTTTTTTTGTTTTTCAGAGTATCGTTTGGTAGCTCGAAAGGATCAATGGTGGAAACCCTAATATTCGAAAGTCCTTTGCAAGAGGAACCCGAACCAAGTCCAATTCCCGAAAATGGAATCTCGCTTTCAAATGGCTGTGATAAAGAGTAAGAATTTAATTTATTATTTTTAGAATTTAGAATTTATAGACGTCGTATTCGCTTCGAGTTTGATTATTGTTTATGTCCTCGGTGCACGTCACCAGTAATTTGTGCTTGAGCCGACAAAGACAAGTTTTAGTTTACTTCCTAGAAAGCATTTGATCCGCAGTTTCCTATATTGCTACTAGGTACCTAACGGACAGTTATTTCGTCCTTATTAGTTCAGGTTCTGGTTCTCTATGGTTCAGGTTTAAGATTTCAGTCTAATAGATTCTTCTGGAAATAGAATTAAGTACTAGAAAGCAAATAATACAACGGCTAATAGAGTGTGCTGAGAATCTGAGAATCATGAATATTTTTAAAACTCAATGATTGAAAATTTAAGATTTTAAACTGAAGACTTTGCTGACAGATTTTACTGATTTAAAACCATTGATGATATCAATTTTTTATTTTTCGAAGACACCAAAGACTCTTTGGTGTCTTCGAAAAAAAAGACACAACAATAAAAATCCTGAAGATCCTGAATGCTCTCCATATGAGAGGAGTTGCAGTTTGGGTCAAGAATTGAAATTATGTATTCAATTTTCTTGATATTTTGAATACTCTATATTCTTTTAAGTTTTTGAAGCCTTTAAAGAATAGTTTTTTGAACTTGTTCAGTGAATACTTTAAATATTATGCCAAATCAAGGCCTGACACTGAAAGTTCTAGATCATAGTTCTAGATTTAATTTTATTTATTTTTTCCTGCCTAAAGGCGTAGCTTCACGTCTTTTGACGAGAACGTAAAATAAGTAAGTAGAGAATAATTGATTTTTCTTCTATTCCAGGCTTTTGAGAATGTTCCTTATTCTTTTTTAAAAAGAAATTTGGAAGGAAACAGAACTTCAAGAGCCTGAAATAGTAGAAAATTGACACTAAAAGAGAAATAGAGAGGAGAAATTTATGAAAAATTGATAATTTCCTTCTCTATTCCAGGCTTTAAATAATGTTCTTTATTCTCTTATGAAAATGAAATTTAGAAGCCTATAATAAACAAAAACTGACAGTAAAGAAAAGAGAAAAACAGACGAGAATTTTAAGAATAAAAAAATCATATGCAGCACCGTACACGTGTTAAGGGTACAAGTGTGGTACATACACCTTTTAAACTTACGTATGAGTCGGGGTACATAGATGAAGGTCCACTGTAGTGACGACACAAGGGTATCGACGCTTGATAATAGCAGGCAATTATCTCTGCTTATAATCCTTGGTTTGTGTCAATGGTTACTGTTTGTGGAACTGGCCCCTAGAGTGCTCCAAACAGATACAGTGTTCGTGCTTGTACCAATAGGTAATTCTAAGAAATTCCAAAAAGCACAGGACACAAAAAATGTATAAATATAATGAAAATGATCACAAACCACAATGATAATAGTAGAACAAAAAGGAGGCGCGCATCTGTAGTGACGTCACAAGGGTATCGGCGCTTGACAATAATAGGCAATCCTGTTTGCGCTTTTAATCCCTGATTTGTGGCAATCAGTGACTGTTTTTCTCCGCCTCTAAATTCATTTTTTTTACTACTAACCTGATAAATAGTCATTATTCAATCTATATTTCTAGGAAAACAATGAATTTATCTCCCTAGGTTAATAATGGAAATAATGAAAAAAAAAAAAAAACCTAAACCAATAATGGAAATGACGTCATCACTCAAGGATATTGTCATGACGTACTAAGCTGCTTTCCAGTGCCTAAATTGTTAGAGTATCATGCTCCTGGAGTGTGACGCACTTGAATTGTTCCACACAAGCAGCACTGGAACGCTCCCGTCGTAACCCCCACCATTTCGGACTTCAGGAGCATGAAACACCGAAATAAAGGTTGGTGCACGAGGGGCAGGGGATAACAGAAATGAGTAGTTCAAGTGTACGACACTCTCATCACTGGAACGCGCAAAGTAATTGTGGAGCACTTTTGAGCTGCTCAGGAGTAACTCAAATGGGTCACTGGAAAGCACCTTAGAACGCGGATTCCGTGCACTGTCGAATTCTAGGCAATTTATCGCGAAGATAACCAAGCATACTCGATTATGCTCAGATGTTATGTGTCAATTGTGTCATACTCCCCTAACTCTCCCACCATCAAATTCTGGGATACTCGAAGATCTAAGAACACTTAACTTCTGGGAAAACAGACTGAAAATCACCTATGACTGAAAAATCACCTTTTCTATCGACGGAAAAATTAACAGTACAGCCTGAATCGCAAGCATTCCATCGAGGTCTGCGGGTGACGTCATAATATGCTGATAGTGACGTCACTCGCAGGCTCAGAATTGGATCGGGAGGGAGTTACGCGAGTATGACCGTTTTTTACACGATTTCCTTTTATATTTTAATGTAGAAAGCGACAGAACACAGAATCCGTGTGCTGCTTTCTATTGGTTTAATTTCAATTTCAACCTGTCAACTAAAAAAAAAACAGGTTCCTGTATCTACATAGGACATTTTCATGAGCTGTTGATAAAGGATACTCAAATAGTCAAAATTTCGGAGCAAATAGACGAAAAAAATGACAAAAACGAACTCGGCCAATGACGGTTCAGACAGATATAATCAAAAAAATCACAGCACACAAGTAGTGATGTGGGCCAGGTAAATACCCAGCTGGTAGGATATTTATAAACTGGGAATTTACCCAATGCAATTAATTATAAATACCCAAAACGAGGGTCTTTTTAGTTTGTTTTTGTGCAAGGGCCAATTTCATTCGATTTTTCTTACTATCGATAGTTTCGTATCGACACTACCAACCGCAACCATAACCTAACTTATATGGCGTTTCCGATTGGTACATGCGCACTGACTGTATTTCCATCTCTTTCTTTCAGCCTGTTAAAGAGATAAATAGAAATACATTTCCTTTGCACACCTCAATGCTTTGCACTTATCCTACCAACCGGAAACGCCATTTTAATAGAGGATTTCAAGCGTTTGACCGGTCGATTACACTTAAACCGAATTTTTGCGACGAATGTAGTTCATCCAAGAACGAACCATAGTTTGTCTGTGACGTCATAAGTTTGAACGCTGTCTAGAAGCTGCATCCATGCTTCCGTCGAACTACGTTCAATATGACTTCATGGGTTTCTCGCGAAAGCGTTTGTGTTCATGAAATCATGGAAGTAGTTCGTCGCGAAAATTCGATTTTACACGGCAGTAAAAGTACGAGCGGCACTAAAAGTACTTTTTTCTGCGATTGACAAGAAATGTCAGCATTTTTGACCGGTTGACAGGTCACAAAACTCAATATTCTGGTATTTTAATTATTTTTCAATAGTTGCTAAGGAATCAATGAATAACAATACAGAAATTTCTCGTACTGCTGAATAATTGGAACCAAAAGACAAACATTTAACAAGTATTTAACCGATCGCAGAAAAAATAGTATGTGTATTTCGGTGGAAAAGCACATTCTCGGCCTTCGGAGCTTGCCGGCCTCGGCTACGCCTCCCCCGTTAACTTACACCGTCGGCCGAGAATGTGTCACTTTTCCACCTAAATACACAATATACTATTGCTGCTGCTGGGGTTGCCAAGCAGCATAGAAATTAAACTTCTACCACCTCGACAGGTGTTAACTCGCTCGATTTGCCTGGCAGCATAGAAAACAAATTTCTGACATCTTGACAGGGGTTAACAAAGTGACGTTTTTTTGACGTTTGGAGAAAAACAAATAAACAGAGGTAAACGTCATTTGTCAACCAATTGGTCTTGAGTGACGTAAAATATAAGTATTGCTCATCTGTCAAAGTTACCGACTGGTCAATCGCTTAAAAATGGGACGCTTTCTTTTATTCATCCATGGATCCATCTGCTGCCACGCCTGCCACCATTATGACAGCCATTTCGATTTTTTATGAACTAGACAAAGATAGACTGGTGATCTAAGGATCCATCGGTGAATAAAAGAAAGAGCCATCCATACCCAATGTATTGGACTACGGAGTTTCAGTTTGTTGCAGCAGTTACTTACTTATACAGAGTGAGGTTTAAGTTTGGAACGTCTCAATTTATAATTCATAAATACCCGGGTATTTACCCTGAGGTATAAATATAAATATCCGGGTATTTTACATCACTACACACAAGTGTATGAATAACGAAAATAATCACAAAATACAATGATAATAGTATAATAAAAAGGAAGACGCGCATCTGTAGTGACGTCACAAGAGTATCGGCGCTTGTCAATATTAGGCAATTCTCTCTGCGCTTATAAGCTATGCTTATAAGGGCGGGTATTATAAAACTGCTTTCACAGTTAACCTAAAGTTAACTTTTTGAATTACATGTAATTCCAGAAGTTAACTTAAAGTTAACTCCCAAAGTAGTTTTATAATACCCGCCCTAAGTCAGGTAATGAAATCTGGCGATAAAAACGCAATGTTATCCCATTGGTCGGCTAGTTATCCGCCAACCAATAGATTTATAGAAGAGTACAGATGGTTATACCAGCAAGTTTATCTGAAGATGAATAAACCGGCCTTGAGAGAAAGAAAAAAAAAATAATCAAGAGCCTGGAATAAATGAAAAAATTATACGAAAAAAAAAATGGGAAGTTGAAAAAAAAAAAGGAAAATGGATGAACAATAAAAAGAATAGTAACGAAAAAATAAGTACATAAAGAGCACAGTTACAGAGGCAACAGAAAATCAAATTTGCTATTCTGACGTCACTTATGGTTATTTGCGAGAATCATCAACAGATGGCGCCACTGAAGGATCCTATCCTGAAGCCGGATTCTCGTCTCAGCGATTAAAGCTCCTCGAGAGAATAAATTTTTCGTCTTTCTCATTCTCGTTTACTTTTCGATTACGTTGACAAGGACAAAACTTCTACTCCCTGAGACGAGAATCTGGCAAGAATCTGGTCGTGTCTAATGCAACTCTGTCAAAATTATGTTTTTGTGCTTAAAGCCTAATTTTCATGCATCCGTTTTTCCGACGAAAGATGT